GCTAGATATGATTTTTTTGGATCCAACTTTTAAACAATACATATATAGTATAAATTTTAGGATCATGCCAGAAAATTCCGGTCTGCCTTCGAAAATAATTACCCAGATATTAAAATTATAATCTTTAAAAAAGATATAATAATATAACAATTATTTAATTAATGTTATTGTTTTAACAAAATCTGATTAAAATAATATAGTAAATGTTACTATAATAAGATTATATATGAACATTGTAATGAAATAAACAATAGATTTAACAACTTTATTTAAATATGTTTTTTGAAAAGTATATATTGTAATTTAGCAAGTATAATGATATTAATATAAATAGTTTTTATAATATAATAAAAATAAGGAGAGATGCAAGAAAACAAAAAAAAAATTGATATAGGCCTTTTCTCATATAACCAAAAGATAAACAAGATTTTTAAACTTAAATAGACTTTGATCAAAGATTTTATTCCATTGCATTAGTTATCTTAAAGATTCTTGAGTTCTTGAGTTAAGATTTACTTATAATAAAAAGTGTAAAGTATTTTTTTTTGTTTAAAATTATTATAAAAGAAAAATTTAAAAAAAAACAGATGCAATTAATTAAAAAGAAAATGTTTTTTTTTTACTCTAAACTGTATAACTTGAACTTTATAACTATTTTTGGTTTTTTTAAAAAAAATCAAAAATCCATCATATTATCAATTTAATATTATATAACTAAAAACATATAAGAGAATATATCTTGTTTATTTTTTTTATAACTAATGTAATTAATTAATTAAAGAGATAATAATGAAATTGAATACTTTTTTTTTTGTTTTTTTTAAATTTTTAAACTTTTAAAAAATTTTTATAAAATGTTTTTTTTTTATTGGTTTTTTTTTTGAAAGATATTTTTGTTATAAACCTTTTAGATAGATTTCTTGTATTTAATTATAAAAATAAGCAAGAAAAATATTTAAAAAAGAAAAAAAAAACAAGTAATAACTATTGCTTACTTTGCTAATTAAGAAACTAATAATATTAAAGAAAGTATATAGATTTTATTATCTTAAAGATATAAAATCTTTTGAGAATGTCTGTTTTTTGAATTTGATAAAAGAATCAGCGAAAAGAATTTTCTTCAATAATTTTATTATAAACTTAACTCATAAATTCTATTTTAATTTGATTTAAACTGTTCAAATATACGGTATATAAATTAAAATATCACAATTACCATTTATTAGATGGCCAATCAGAGATCGAGAGGGTACGCGTATCGCATATAAAAACTACAGATGATACCGTATGCACAATTTTCCGATAAAAGAAAGAGTGAATGAACAGCATTTAACGATGCTTCTTAAAATCCAGTTCCGGAAAATCACGCGCAACACGTTTTGTTTCTTGATATAGCTGCAAAACTCGGAAACGAGATAATTCTTATCCCTATTTGGTTGCTACAAGCAATGGCTTGTTCCACTCCATCAAAAAAATATCTAGAAGTACTTTCCCAAAAATCGGTTCGTCTCTCTACATCCACGCCAAAACTTATTGTGCTCGATCTTAATCATACCTTATTAAGTCGCAGTAAGAAGAAGAGTACTCGTGGTACCTTACGTCCTTACCTTAATGAATTTCTTCAATATCTATTCGAAGGAACCGATAAAAAGGATGGAACCTTTTCTGTCATGGTGTGGTCCTCCGCTAGGCCGCAAACCGTCGATGCATTAGTCAATCTGGCATTTGGACGTTATCGAGATCAGTTGATTGCTATATGGAGTCGTAATAAATTTGGATTAGATAAACAGATGTATTATCGAAAGGTGCCGGTGATAAAAAATTTAGAAACCATCTGGAATGAATTAAATAGACCGCATCATGTTAATCCCCACGATGGTTGGTCCGAAACTTCATCGTCAGAGTTGCCAAATGATATGTCTTCCCCATCGACAACACCACGTTCCCCCCTTTCTCCTACCAACGAAACCTCGACAGATACTTTCATCGAGAAATTACCACGCGCAATTGATCTCGATACGATAAATGGCATTTCGCCATGTACATGGGACCAAACTAACACAATTCTTATCGATGACTCGCCCTCAAAAGCCGTGTTACAACCCTATAACGCTATACATTTGCCACCCTTTAATTCTCCGGCACGTCAATTGGCAAAAGATAAAGAACTGGTGAATGTTATAAATTACTTGGAAATTTTAAAGCATCAAGACAACGTCAGTGCATACATGAAAGAACATGCATATGTTTCCACCAGAATGGATTAAAAAAAAAACGGGCGATATTAAATAACGATAACCTGAATTACGTATACAGAAGTAAGTGGCGGAAACAAATAATGAGGCGTAGACTTTATTGACATAAAATCTCAGTAGTTTACATAAATAAATTATGTGTATTTAAGGCGTATGTGATGGTTTAAATGTGGCTGCGACAAACTCTTTGATCCATCGTTTTGTCTTGTCTTCTACTCAACTTTTTTAATTTCTAATTCTGTCAATTGCTTATTTGCCGATATACTTAAATTCTTCTCATTGGCCAAATGTAGTAGACATATAAAACAGAATGGTACTGAAATATCTTTCATCTTTTTTTCAGGGTAAATTTTTGTCAGATTTTTTATGACGTCGGTAAACTTTTGCTCTCTAACTTGTTCCTGCGTGGTTGATAGACCTTCAACCTGATCATTGTTAAAAGATAGCCGAGTATTGCCCATTGACGATCTTCTTCCATTTTCTTGTGACTAAGAATTTGAAATTGAAGAGTGAATTGATTGATAATCAAGGAATGTCAAATAGAAATAGACATAGGTACTTACATTAACGGCCAATGTTCTCCATATGTTATCTTTCAGTTTCTTAACGTCAATCCTTTTTGCAGTTCTAGCAAACTTTATGTACTCGGGTTTAGTTCGTCTTGCTTGAGACACTAAATTATCTCCAAACTCTCTTTCGTCAATTACTTCGTCGTCAAATCCATCATCATCTTGGAAAAAGGTGTCTCCAGTTGTCACCATAGCTGATCAAACAATGCATACACATATTGATTAGACTTATGTTACAGAAGATACGAATATGTTTTCTTTTGATCCACACTTACTCATGTCCGGAAAAGAGGTATTTTCTTCTTGTTCATTATTATTCCCATCGGCCCAAAATTCCTCGTTTACTTCTACATCGTCGCCTTTTTAAAAGAAAAGTTAAAAAAATTTTTTAAACACGATAAACGTGTTGGCAAGGAAATTCATCAGAGGTTCGAAATATGTAGTATATCTTACTTTCAACGAGTTGCTCATATCGACGTCTTACCTTCAACTGAGAAAAAAAAATTTTTTTAATAAAAAAAATTCACGCGCCTTCAATGAAAAGTTTATAAAAAAACCCCCGAAAATACCATGTAATCTGGTTTTAAGAACAGATGAAGCAATTGCTTAGATGAAAAGTGTATATCGTCAGGAAGTCGATAGCCGTGTGAAACGTGTTCGGCCAATTTGGGCAGTATGAGACTATTTCCGCCGGATGCAAAAATGGTCGACTCGTTCACATCTTCGGATCCGATAAAGTCGATGGAAAATACTTCTTTTTTTTTTCTTTCCCTTGTCTCGGAATTAGAATTTGTCTCCGCTTGTGTATCTTTATTAACACGGTAGGCGCTTAGCACAGAACTCTAGATCATAATGAAATTACGGTCGGTAATGACGAAAAAATACCTTTGGCAACACGCTTTAGTTTCCAATGTTCTGGACCAGCCCAATTGCGTAGAAACGCAGAATCAAAGTACGAAAACATGTCATTTTCATTGTTCGCCATGGCCACGACAAAATCGTTTTCCGTCAATAGCCTTCTTTGGTCCACGTCCTCATTCTCAAATACTCCAGATATGCCTTCCTCATTTACTCCATCATCATCCAAGAAATTATCGTTGTCAAAGAAATCGGGAAAATCTCCACCTTCCCCGTCGGTGTTTAAGAAAAAATTGTTTGATTCCCCCTGACTAAATCTATCGTTTTCATCCTCGTCATCTGATCCTCGGTGTACCAAGAATCCAAGATCGATATTGTTTTCCCCAAAAAATGCAAAATTTTTTAATGACGGGCAAATGTCCTTGGTGAATATACGTGAGAGGCTATAATAAAATTTAGCTAGCATACATATGCGTTCATATACTTTAGTACCAGACGTGTCATTGATAATACAAGATAATTCCTATGAAAAGAGAGAGCACGTACAACGAAGTTTTGATAAGTCCATGGTCTGTTCTGCTATGTCTTCATCCATTGCATTTGAATCTTCTTCGTTGGAATCTTCTAAGACAGCATCGCTTGCATCAAATATAATCTTACCGTCCGCATCAATTGATAAATGATTCAGCAGCAACCCTTGGGCTCCACCTTCATCAAAATCGGCTGAGGTCTTTTTGAAGAGCGGATCAACCGAAAACTCTAGGTCAAACTTTTTTACGGTCAATTGAGAATAATCTTTGACTAAGGTTGCTTCGCTCCTTGTTGTCTAGTAATAAGGCAGGTGTTAATTCATATGTACATGTATAAAATACTTTATACATTCTCGGTCCATCCTCCCTCAAGAAGTTTGTTCAAGTCGCGTTGCCTTGCGTTGAATTTACCTTTTTGCGATGCCGCCGTTCCGGGTCAGCCCCTTCTCCTTCGTCTTCATTTTCCGAGAGTTGATCATTATCATTCTCTTAAAATTGAAAGATATTAAGAGATTTACTACTTTTATTTAAAAAATATGTTCGTATAATATTGAAACGTATTTTACTAACTGGTGCTGTCTGCTAAACCGCTCAGAAGTTTCCCCGTTTCGGTGGCGACTGAATCCACGCGTGATGTATATATTTTGACGCATCCGTCCAAAGTGCAAGAAGCTTTTTGGAAGTTTATCGAGTCGCCTTCTTTCAGTAAACTCATTTCATGAAAATAATCGATTAAGGCCAATTTCCAACTATTGTTGGCATTTATTTTCTGCAATTTGACAATTTTCAAATGGGTTTCTCGAATTCGTAACAAATTTCTTTGCGCATAGTCAAATATCAATGAACACGATATACATTATCTGTCGCCATTTTCATCCATTCTTCGAAATTATTATACATTTGTTCCACCGGTATCTTTGGTATAGGAGTAACAACCTCCAAAGTTATTTGCCTAGCTCCATTTCGTTGAGGTGTGATGTTCTGACCTCCTGACCCTGAGGCTACGGTAGGAGAGCCTAGTAGTAAAGATTTTCTTCGTACAGATTCTACTAATGATTTTCTACGTTGGCTTTTTTCCTTCGCATCGTCATTCAAAGGCACAACAAAGTCCCTCTGTTGCGATTTCAAGGGCGTGCCGATGGAATGACGCCGAGGTGTTTCGGGCAAAGCAGCAGGCATGTTTGTCGTAAGGTCAAGTGTTTATTTTACGAATCTAGACGCGTTGTTATGATCAGCATAGAAATGTTTGATTTTATTGGTCAACAATCTTGTCGATCACACAATGTTATTCAAACATATCATCTTTATATAAAATTCTATAATATTATTTTTTGTAAAATCATTAGTCTATAAAAAAGGAATAATATTATAATTTATAATAGTTATATATTGGATATTGTATTAATATTAACATAAACCAAAGAAATATGGAAATTATCTGTATAAGTCTACTAAACCGGTGTTTTTGTTTATATAATTGTAATTGTAATTTTGTAAAAATAGTTGAAAAAAAAAAAAGTTTGCCTATCTAAGAAAAAACAAGAAGTTATTACATATATATTTTTACAAGATAATTTTGAAAAATTGAAAAAAATATATACAGTACATAAATTTAAACTATCTAAAAAAAATTAATTTAATAAATAAATAATATTTTAAATTATTTAATTTCTTTTAAAATTTCTACTAATTAAAAATATTTAAAGATACTTTAAATAAATATTTCTTGAAATTTTAAAATAAAAACTTAAGATCAAAAGAATTATTGTTTTTTTATTAATGATTTTGTTTTTAAATTATAATTTTTTTTAAATTGTTTTATTAATAATTAATTTCTAATATTTTTTTTTTGGTTAATTATATTTAAAATAAATAATAAATTTTTTGAATTTTTGTTAAATTAAAATAATATATAATATTTATTTTATTTTATTTTAAGATATTAATTTATTTTTAATATATATAAAAAATTATATTTTTAAATCACAATTTTAATTAAATAAATAATTATACTATTGAATTTAATTATCTAAAAATATATATATATATATAATATTTTAATTATATTTATATTATTAAAGATTAATTAATTTAAATTTTGATTAATTATTATTTAATAATTTTAATATAATTAAAAATTAAATTAAAGTAAACAAATTTTTAATAAAATAATTAAAAATATTTTTTTGAATAATTTTTTTATAAACTTTTTTTAATATATACTGTATATTATAATTTTTTTTAAAAAAAAAAACTAATTGTTTTATAAAAAATTTGTTATAAAAATATATATATATAAAGTTTTTAAAAATATTAATTTTGAAATTAATAATAAATACTAAAAATAATTAATAAGTAATATTAAGTTATATAATATAAAAAATATAAAAACAAACAAAAAACTCTCTCCTGATCGCGTCCGTTTTGCTAAAAATTTTCCTTTTATGGTAATTTCAAGCATGAAAAAATGTTTTACACTCTTTATCGCAAGTGAGCCCCAGCTCAGGAACTCAAGAACCTTCAAGACAACTGGTGCAG